TGTGGGGGGTGGCGGGGGTAGGGGTTGAATACCAATACCAGAGAGGAAGGACAAAGGGAATGGGGTGGGGATTCACAGTGGACGAGAATACCATTGAGAGACCGAGTACAATGTTGGTGAAGAAAATGATGGAGGAAGCTTCGTAGAAAGTGTGCCCATTCACCTTTGGGATTACTACTGGTAGAGAAGATGGTAAAATCTTCATGGTATTTAGCTCAAGAAAGACAACAGTGAAGTGACAAGTAATGATAGTTTAGAAATAGGAAAGAATTCATATTATAAATCGGGAGTAGAGGTACTATATATGTAAATATCGTCCGTCTGTCTTCAGTATATATTCTATTGAAGTCATCTTGGAATTTTTTGCCTGAGAACAAGCACAGTACATCTATCCAGCTAAAGGAAAAATGAATTCAAGCAATCATAAATCCGTTGCATATGGACTTTATAAGATAAATCGAAGAGTGTATTAAGCTTACCTAAGCAGTAACCGCTGGACACAAGATCATAGTAGTGCTTTCCATAACAGCTAAATACCTGTTGGAAGCAGGTATTTGGGAATGATTGGCCATTACTTCCGCAAATTCCTGGCCAACCACCAGTGAATACTTTTCCATGCCACCGGGGATCACCGAATACTAGCCTGGATTCCTTCATTGACTCATTGAGAGCTAGAATAGCATAGTCTGTTCGTCTGACGAAAAACGCACCCACAGCATTGCAATTTGGCGGAAGATCATTGCAGTCGAGACAAATTGGCTGGCCAGTCGTGACATGAGGTCTGCATGTCATACGTGAGGACTGACACCTTACATTTTTACACGTTGCGTCAGCTAGAGGTAAGAAAACACTGTCAATTATCTCAATCAGTTTGGACTGGTTCTGTACAAATAAAGGCACAAGGTGAGCCGCATGAAAGACTTGTTTGTTGTTTACTGAGAGGATATATATTATGCTTCCGTTAATGATCACAGACACCCATATTATCCACAAACATGCATTTAATGGGAATGAACGTCCAACAACTTCAGACAGGCAAAGGCACATCAAGATACTCAATACACACACACACACACACACACGCACACCCACACAGACAACGAAAGCATGTGTGTAGACAAAATACAGCATCAATAATAAGCAATACTTTGTCCTTACCTCTACAAATACCCATGTATCCGATTCGGATTTCAATTCCCCTTCGAAGACTGGCATTGCGAAGTGCATATATATCGGCGTATGTCTTGTTATCTGCCCCGCAAATTGGACCTTTGTTATAGGCGTACTTATAACTTAGGCCACTTTGATCAGGAGATTCACAACTTGTCTTTCCGCTGTATGCACGCATAACACAGACTTTGCCTTCAGGGCATACTTTCTGTCAAGTAAGGAAAAGAAGAAAATACAATAGTTAGCCAGTCACTTGAGAACCATCGTAAGGCTTTAAAAAGTTATCTAATGGGAAATGGGATGCTAACCACGGGTTTATTGTCATAGGGATTTGCATTGAAATTACAGCTACGAGCTGTTGGAGGACATGGAATTTCTGTGAAAAGCGAATTCAAGGAGCGACATCGCTCTTTAATCAATGCGCATCGATTGCGAAACATGCGGAAATCAGAAGAGCAGACAGGTCCAGAAGTGTAGTCCTCCTCTGAGCACGTATTCTTGCAAGCACAGTACGATTTGCCTTTTATCACTCTACATTCGAATTCCTTATTGCATCGCACATTGTTGCATGTTTCCTCTGCAAGACCAAAAAAGTAGCTTATCACTAAAATTGAAGAAGAAGAAGAAATTGGAGGGAGGGGGGGTTGGCTAGGCACATTTCAAGCAGAATCATCCAATTATTGTAGAATAGCAAATCAGCAAAAAAATTAGAAGGGAGTCCTTACGATTAAGAAAGACCTTGAAAATCTGAAAAGTCAATACGAAACACTGAATTATGCTCATACAAATTAAACAAATCGTTAAATGGCAAGTGTGTCTCATTCAGGTCTAGTGTACCAATAATTTCGAGTGGGATGGTATCTCGTAGACAGGTCTTAAAGGCAAGCTCTATTTTGTTAGAAGTCGCATGCATTGCTTAATTTTATTTTAAACACCTTCATATTTCTCAGCCTCCTCATTAATTAATGTGTTATTTGTTTGTTTGAAGGTGAAAAATATCGATCTCATTAGTTAAAGTGAGTAAAAGCTTTCTTGCACTTTCCTAGGAAGGCATTATTGTCGAAAGATGAGTGAAGTGAGTAATGAGAGATTTGGAAGGAAGAACAAGTGACGTCCAAGCTTTCACGCACAATTGGAAAGTAATTAATGCTTTAAAAAATAGGTGCAGTGTAGCAAAATGAACTCTCAGAAGATGGAGAGAAATAAATCAAATATTTGAGGTGGCGCTTTAAGCAGAATTCGATATGTTACGCGAGAATCAAACAATTTGAGGAGTAAGTCAAAAATGATAGGAGATAAAAGGAAGATCCTACTACTTACCGCCTCCGCATGGATTTTCGCAGTTTGGAACGCCAGATTTGGAGAGGAGGATGTCTCTGACAAATACTGACGATGACAATTTGCCCTCGTGGTAGAAGCCACCTCTCCGACAGCATTCAAATCTGGTACTGGTATCACGCTCAATAAGTTCATGGCAGTGGCCATTTTCAAGTCGCATTCTGAAGCAACTGCCTTTTGGAGTGAAGGAACAGGAGAAGAGGTTGAAATAAACTTTTAATAGAAGTTTGAAATACCTCAAGCATTCACAGATTTGTATACTTACCTCCGGAGGCAACGTGAACAAGAAAGGCCTGAAGAGCAACAGTGAGTAGAAGTAGCATATTGAAGATAGCAAAGTTTGATGGCAAAACAGCACACACGGGACTCTTTATATAACAGACAGTTGGTAGCCAATTGTAGACATGAAACACGGCAATAGGTAGACGGCATTTGAGGTCGCACACCGCACCAAGGGTGGGCGCATACAAGTGTTATGGATAACACGCATGCGGTGTCACCCGCGCACTGCGCGCTCGGGGTACAACACGCATCAACTAACCTCAAATGAGGCCAGGTTCACATATTGCGATCTATCTACCTGACGAGAATCAGTTGGTAGATTGACAGAGTACCCCCCAGATCTGCCCTAACACCCCCCCCCTCCCCTTCCCTTTTGTTTCCTTGAGTCACTATTCAAACTTTAGTCGCGTGATTATTGGGCTAATTTGATTTGCGTTTTATTGGCAAATAACAAATTCGATCGATGAAAAGCTCGTAAACTTTTTTAAAGTGGACTGAAAAAAATGTTACTGGGTTCATGCGTTTATGGAATTTCCAGTTCAAGCGAAGAAATAGAAAAAGAATGAATCTAAAGCTAAAATCCTTTTAGTGCTTCATAAAGGCTGAAGCCTTTATAACTATGATTTCCTATTGGAAAACAAAAACATTTCGAAAAAGAAGCATTAAGTAGAGAGGGACTGGTAGATTTAGAAGTGAACGATCGTTGTGCCTAGGGCTCGACCAAAATGAACCAAAAGAGGTGGCGTTTGAATATTAGTACTTATTCATAAACTTTTCTGCTATAACATGTCGTCTTCTGCACCACTCATTAATTACAAAAAGAAAATTCAAACTGTTAAGAAACGAGGATTTTGTTCGAATATTTTGCCAATTCTTATCAGCTCGAAGCTTTAGGCAGACTGGATATTCCTTCTTAATTTAAACTAACAGCTTGCGTGTCTTGTAATAAGGCCAATTTGGTTATATCCAGGGTAGCAATCCCTAAAAGTATCTTTGATAATGAGGTCAATAAAGGGAAGACACTTTTAAAGAACCCAGGCATTTTGAATCAGATCAATTTGCTGGTAGATATTGAAGGAATTTAAACTTTTAACAGTCAATAAGGCAAGTAGGCTAAATTTTCACATAATTTCATACGTAGGTCATAGGCTTGCTGAACACTTTTCAAAATAGCTCTATTCACCTGTGGAAAAAGTTTATATTTTATGTTCTTTTACCAAATGAATTTTTTCCAAACTCTGATTTAATATGTGGGCTGGTGTTTACAGCGAATCATTCTGCTTGGAAATTCAATAAAAACATTGTTCTCAATTTGGTTGGTGGTATTTTAAAATAAGTGAAATCGAAATATCCCTAATTGCAACAAATTTCAGCATAGGCAAATCGATTGCCTTCGTTTTAAGGAAATTATATAAATTTTAGAAACTGTCACAAAAGTGCCATTATCGATCAATAGTAAGTGTTGTGACGGTTGGATATATTTTGAAATCACGTCACTTTACCACTGAACAGGTGCATAATCCTCTAAATTTTTGAAGAAATAGTTTACCAACACTCAAATTTAGTAGTCACATTGGACTTTGTTGCACTCTTTTTTGACTATTGATGGTTAATACTACGAAGCTCAATTATTAATGTTAACAAATCAGTTGGCGTTTGAAATCGTTGCTCTGGATGAAAATAATATTTTTTGTCTAAAAAGAATATTTTAACCCGCTCTTGCCAATTATTTGAAAAAAATTGAGTATTTGTTCAGATGTGTTAAATTGCAAGGTTCCCGTCTTGCATAAGTTTGGACTGAAGCCTAACTTCAAGGTACTTGTGTGCTATTGTTGAGGTGTAGGTTAGATACCTCTCCTAAAGGTCAAATATATTACTAATTCGTCGTTTGTCTCAAATAGTACGCACGTTTCCACAATGCGCTGCGCAATTTCAACCAACCCGCTATGAAAGAGGAAAGTAAATTACGTGAAAGAACTTCTTTCGATGACTGTGATACAAGGCATTTCTGAGGCAAAAATGGCCCAGTTCGTATAAATGTTCGACCGCAAATAAGCAAATTACTGACAGTTGGATATGCTAAAAAATGTTTTTGATGACGCTTTAAATACCAGTCATAAAATCGAACTATTACTGTTCAAATAAAGTGAAAATGAACATCCAATCTCCTAAGGTATTTACTTATTAGATCAATCTTTCCGTCATGAAAATAAAGTTACTTGGATCTAGTGGAGTCATTCAAATATGAGAGTTCAGGTTTTGAGAAGCAGAACCTTCAAAGAAAGGAGGTCAATATAGCCGTCACACAGCTTTTGATAAATAGGCCTCACTAAGGTAAAAAGTCCATGGACTAATGAGCTAATCTAATGAAAATTAAAACGCTTTCTTTCCATGGAACATCATGGTCATCCATTCAAAATTTAATACATTGATGTTCTTTCGTTTCAGATGCAATTCTCCAACCACTGTACTGGCTGCCCGAGGCTTTTGATATTCCGATAACAAAAGAGCGGTTTGAAGAAATTTAAAGACATTTAATGTGAGCAGGTAGCAGTACTTTCAATCTTTTTGCCATTATTTTATCTCTTTCTAAGATTCTTCTAGGACCTTATTATTACTTATCTCATGAATAAAGTCCATTACTGTTCGAAAATTCTGTTAACATTGATTTATTTATTTCAAATGGCAGGCGTTATGATAAGTATCATTAGCTCTTTAGTTGACTTCGTGCTTCACAAAAAGGAAGAGGAACACCAAAGTGGCAAAAAGCCGAGAGGGGGGACAGAATAATGATTCGCAGACGTAAAAGAGACAGACAGACACAAAGGTAGAAAAAAGGTGAGTACTGTGAAATTAGTAGAACATGAAATGCGGTGGGGTCTTGGTAGTTTGAAGTCAGAAGTCAACTGCCGGTTAATAGACTTTTTTGCCGTATGAGTATACGTTGCCCAGAGTGCACCACGTGGAGGTAAGTCTATTGCACACCCCATTCTGTTAACATTTGTTTACGTAAACTGACTTGTCCCATTAAAAGACTTAATAAATACTCTTTCAATTGTAGCAAGGAGAGAAGTAGGGGTTTTCCACACTTTAGTGAGGTTGCAGAAATATCAGCTTCGATATGTATTGGTCATTTCTAAATCTGGTTTGCTGAGTACTTAATGGACACTTTGTACTCCAAAAAGGAGAATTGAATTTAGAAAGCGTTCTGAAGATGATAACTCTCTTAGAGAAGGGGTTGATTAGACATGAGGAAATTATTAGGTTATATAACATTCCGAGACTTGGCTCCGAGAAGCAAAATCAGAATCACGTCTGATTAGATAGTTAATGGTGATTTCGTGCAAAACAAAATATTCACATGAATTTAAATTAAAAATAGAGCATTTGAAATATGATACGGGATAACATCGTCTGAGTTTGTGCAGAAAAAGAAGCCATGTAGGAGCGGAAAGTCTGGGCGTAGTTTTAAAATCGTCTGGATTTTTCTCCACTTTTTCACACGCCCCACCCCACCCCCCCCCTCCCCACCCCTCCAACCCCCCAACCCCCCGCCACGGCCTCCCTCTTCCATATCTTTATCATCTTCTTCTTCTTCTGCTTCTCCAACGTGTTTTCTTTTTAAGATTTCGCACAAAACCCGACAGAAGTTGTTAAGGTGCGCGGTGTCTGGAATAGTAAGATATGAAGTGAACACTGTTGAATAGGAAGAAGGGGGTGGGGGTGGGGGTGAGGGGGGGGGGGTTGATGGCGGATACGAAGACAGACGAAAATGAAAAATTGATGCGCTATGCTTTCAAAATCCTCTTTTTTTAAAGAAGAGCAAATCAGACTCGAAAGATAAATAATTTTTAAAGACTCATCTACCAGACGGCTTATTTACACTCCCCTTTAAATATAGCACTTCCTTCATTGATCTCATTATTTCTGCTCATTTAATATATGCTCTAATAACAAGACACATGTTTGAGTAAGTTCTCCATTGTGTCATTCATTTAGTAAACGATACTTAAAGTGTTTTTTCGGGAGTATTTCTGTTGAACATACAGATATAGGCTGTCATTCATTAACTAAGTGTCGAGGGACTTCTGGCACTAGCATAAATAGTGGTTAGAATGAGACATGTCAATGTTAAGTAGAACAGTTAACTAAGAGCGGAATGATCTGAAATTGCACCATTCGCGAGAGGAATCAGAAAGCAAAATTCTATTTCGACAAAAGACGTTCAACTATGATTATGGAATTTTCGTCTCTGGGACCAGTCAGGTCTGAGGCCTTTATAAGGGGGGGAAGGGGGGAGGGGCCAGTTGTCGTGTGCAACGCACCATTTGTCTAATTTTTTGTCTTTGCTGCCTTCTTTCCTCTTTGATACACACACACGGGAGGCTGACTGTCTTTTTGCGCCTTCTCCAAAGCGTCTGAAATGCGTTTCATTTTTTTTCACTTTCCGAGAAGGTCAGGAACGATTTCAATCAAAGCTGTCTGAATAGTCTTTCTTGACAGCTAGGGGGGGGGGGGTTGGGATGGGTTACGTTTGTATCTTGGGCCTCTCTCTCACTGCAGTATCGTTATTACGTAAATAGATTTCTATTTTGGAAAAATGAAAGATGAAGACGAAAATCTGCCTATTCACGGATGATGGAACTGGAGCACTCAATAAGTTGTAAATGCTCTTTAAAAGTAATTCAGCGTTTTCTTAGAATTAACAAATGTCAGTCATTTGTTTAAAAAGAGTTTGTTTTCAATTTTGTTTTTGTCACTATTTTAAGGATAAGTCTATTTTAAATCCTTTCATGAAAATCATTAAAAATAGTATTGGTAGAATGTCGGTATCTATTTATTTATATGACAGTTATCACTACCTCCTTAGTTGACTTCGGTCGTCACTGAGGGGAGGAGCATCAAGGTCACAAAAAGTGGAGAAGGAAAACAGAAGAGTGATTCATAGATGAAAAGAGGCAGAAAGACATAAAGGTAGAGAAAAATGTAAGGTAAGTACTGTGGAAGGGGTGGAATATGACAACCAGTGGGGTCATGGTAG